AAGGAAAAGCCCATGAGTATTTGCGGGCCAGTTGTTCCCTGGCAAACATAGATTAAGGACAGAAACTGGCAGCTGAATAAACTTTAGTACCTGTATTAGTCAGGGTTCTCTTGAGGGACAGAACTAATAGGAGATATATATATATGTGAAGGAGAATTTATTAGGAAAATGGACTCACACGGTCACAAGGTAAAGTCCCACAATGGGCCGTCTGCAAGTTGAGGAACCAGAAAGCCAGTCCAAGTCCCCAGACCTCAAAAGCAGGGAAGCTGACAGAGCAACCTTCAATGTGTGGCCGAAGGCCCAAGAACCTCCACAAATCACTGGTATAAGTCCAAGAGTCCAGAAACTGAAGAACATGGAGTCCGATGTTCAAGGGCAGGAAGCATCCAGCACGGGAGAAAGATAGAGGCCGGAAGACTCACCCAGTCTAGCCTTTCCATGTTCTTCTGCCTGCTTTTGTTCTGGCCATGCTGGCAGCTGACTGGACGGTGCCCACCCAGATTGAGGGTGGGTCTGCCTCTCCCAGTCCACTGACTTACACATTATCTCGCTTGGCAACACCCTCACAGACACGCCTGGGAACAAGACTGTATCCTTCAATCCAATCAATTGACATTCAGTATTAACCACCACGGAACCTTTTTTTTTTTTTCTGCCAGTGGCATTGTTGCCTGGGTTTGTCCTGAGACAAAAGGATGATGGTGAGGGATGCTGGCTTGCACAGAACTTCAGCTGTGAGGAGGCTGTGTCCTCCTGGAGCCTTCTGTTTGCAGAAAGAAAGTTGCCGGTGGGGAGGGAGAGAAAGGGTCAAGTTCCTGACGCTACAGCCCACAGAGACCCCTCCAACCTGCCTCAGGAGTGGGTGTGAGGGCAGGAGCTTGTTGTATTCACAGAGACAGAGGCATAGGGGTCCAGAAAGACCCAAGAGGAGGCTTAGAACAGAGGGGGGTCCAGCAAGACTTCTGCGGCAGGTGTTTTGGTCGTCTCCTACCCAACTCCACTCCAGGATGGAGCCACCACCAGGTCTGGGCGTCCACCCTTCCACATGTGAATCAGGGGAGGATGGTCCCAGCTGCAAGGTGGTCCCAATCACCTTGTCAGTGATTAAGCTAAGGGTGGTCACCAGAGTCTGAAGTACCCAATGAGACATTGAGGGGACATGATGGGGGTGAGGGCTCTGGGAAACATCTGGGAGGAATGGTCTGGCTTTCTTCCTCAGATGCCCTTATGTCTGGTGTCTGGGTGTGATCTCTGTCTGCTGCCTACTTCCTGGGGGCCAGGAAGAGAACCAGCCTTAGAATGAAGACAGTGCTGAGGCCGTGACCAGAGAGCAAGAAGGAACTTGCATCAACCAACCCCAAGGACACTGCCAAGGCCAAACAAACCAACCAAAAGCCTCAAACGAGCAGTTGACAGTGAAACCAGAGATGAAGCAGTGGCTGCCTGGAGCCAAATGACCTTACAGAGAGGCCAGTATTTAGAGGATGGACTGCAGGGTTCAGGGGTACAATAGGGTTAGACCACCCCAAGTGGGGCACCGTGCCTGAGACTCCACTTACAGTCAGAATACTCAAAGGTGCTACCTCCCAGATAAAATCTTGGACTAGAAGCTACCTACTTGTGAGTAAGGGAAATGTTTTTTTTAAAAATAGTAATAATTAAAAAACTGGAAATCCATCTGCAAAAGAATGACATTGGAACCTTCCCTCATACCATAGACAAAAATTAACTAAAATGGATCAAAGACCTCAATGTAAGATCTAAAACCACAAAACTCTTAGAAGAAAACACAAGGCAACCATTTCACAGCATTGGATTTGCCATGATTTCATAGACATGATGCTGAAGGCACAGACAACAGCAACAAAACAGACACACGGAGCTTCATGAAAATTTAAAATATGTATTTTTGACCAATATCTTTTTTTTTTAGGTATGGGGGTCTTGCTATGCTGCCCAGGCTGAAATGCAGTGGCTGTTTACAGGCGTGATCATGGTGCATCGCAGCCTCAAACTCCTGAGTTCAAATGATCCAGGATTACAGGTGCAAACCACCGTGCCTGGCTAAAACCTTAAAATTTGTGCACCAAGTGACAATATCAACAGAATAAAAGGCAGCTCGCACAATGGGATAAAATATTTGCAAATTGCATATCTGATAAGGAATTATATACCAAATATAGAGAGAACTCCTACAACTCTACAAGAAAAAAAGAAAGCCCGATTAAGAAACGGGCAAAGGACTTGACATTTCTCCAGAGGAAATTTACAAATGGCCAACAAATACATGAAATGCTGCTAAACATCACTCATTATCAGGAAAATGCAAATTAAAACCACAATGGGATATCACTTCATACCTGTTAGAATAGCCATTGTGTGTGTGTACATATATGCATACATATGTGTATATACACATATATACACATATACACATATATACATGTATATACATAAATACACATATGTATACATATATGTACACACAATGGCTATTCTAACAGGTGTGAATATGTATATATGTATGTATACATATGTATGTATGTATATACATGTGTATATATACACATACATGTAGAAAAACAATAGAAAACAACAAATGCTGGTGAGAATGTGGAGAAACTGGAACCCTCGTGCACTGTTGGTGGGAGGGTAAAATGGTGCAGCTACTGTTATGGGAAACAGTATAGATGTTTCTAAAAAAAAGTAAAAATAGAACTGTCACATGATCCAGTAGCCCCACTTCTGGTATTTATCCGGAAGAACTGAAAACAGCATCACACAGTGGTATCTGCATGCCCGTGTTCACTGGAAGCAGCATTATTCACAATATCCAAGCGATGGAAACAACTTAAATGTCCATCAGTGGATGAATGGATAAAGAAACCATGATACGTACATGCAATGTGACATGGTTTGGCTCTGTGTCCCCACCCAAATCTCATCTATGGTTCTCTTAATTCCACATGTTGTAGGAGGGACCTGGTGGTAGATGACTGAATCATGGGGGCGGGTCTTTCCCTTGCTGTTCTCGTGATAGTGGATGGGTCTCACGAGATCTGATGGTTTTATAAATGGGAGTCTCCCTGCACAAGCTCTCCCCTTGCCTGCTGCCATACACGCAAGATGTGACTTGCTCCTTCTTGCTGTCCACCATGATTACAAGGCCTCCCCAGCCCTGTAGAACTGTAAGTCCAATAAAACTCTTTCTTTTATAAATTGCCCAGGCTCAGGTATGTCTTTATGAGCAGCATGAAAACAGGCTAATACACAATGGAATAATATTTTAGGGAGGGGATGAGAAAAAAATATTTTGTGATGTGCCTGAAAGCAGGGTGAGAACACAGTTTTTTCTTCTATTTCTTTTCTTTTTAAAAATTATTACTATTTTTAATTGATGCATAATCAGACGTATTTATGGGCTACATTGTGATATTTCGATACATGTATATAATGTGTAATGATCAAAGAAGGGTAATTAGCACAGCCATCACCTCACTTTTCTTTGTGTTGGAAACATTCAAAATCTACTCTTTTAGCTATTCGAAAATATACAATAAATTGTTGACAATTATAGACATCCTCTAGTGCTATAGAACACAAGGATTTATTCCACCTATCCAGCTGTACTTTTGAATCTGTTAACACATCTCTGGCTATCCCTTAACCCTCAACATGCTTCCCTACATCTAATAATCACTGCTCTACTCTCTGTGTCTTGAGGTCAACTTGAGAATATGCAGTGTTTCTCTTTCTGTGCCTGACTTATTTCACTTCACAGAACGTCCTCTAAGCTCATCCATGCTGCTGCAAGCAATAGAATTATAGAGTTTTGTTCTTTTTCTTCTTCTTCTTCTTCTTCTTTGAGACAGAGCCTTGCTCTGTCACCAGGCTGGAGTGCAGTGGTGCGATCTCAGCTCACTGCAACCTCTGCCTCCCAGGTTCAAAAAATTCTCCTGCCTCAGTCTCCCAAGTAGCTGGGACTACAGGCGCAAGCCACCAGGCCCAGCTAATTTTTGTATTTTTGGTAGAGACAGGGTTTCCCCATGTTGGCCAGGATGATCTCAATCTCTTGATCTCATAATCCGTCCACCTCAGCCTCCAAAAATGCTGGGATTATAGTCATGAGCCACCATACCCGGCCGAATTTGTTCCTTTTTATGGCTAAATAGTATTCCACTATGTATATATGCCACACATTATTTATCCTACAGTGGACTATAATTTTATTCAACCTTAACAAAGAAGGAAATCCTGCCATATTCAACAACATGGATGCATCCTGAGGACATTATAGTAACCAAAATAAGACAGACACAGGAGGATGAAGACTGCATGGTTCTGTTACATGATGTAGCTAAACTAATCAAACTCATAGAAGCAAAAAGTAAAATAGTGGTAGCTGGGGGCTGGGGGAGGAGTGAGAAGGGGAAGCTGTTGTTCAATGGGCATGGTTTAGTCATGCAAGGTGAAAAAGTTCTAGAATTCTGCTGTACAGCAATGTGCATATAATCAGGAATATTGTTCTGCACATCTAAGAGTTTGTTAAGAGGGCAGATTTCATGTTAGGTGTTTTTTCTTTGTTCATTTTTAACCACAATTTTTAAAAAGGGGAAGAAGAAGGAACCCATGTCCCTTGTGAGAGCCTTCCCACTGCTATCTCTTTACTGCCCCTGGCCAGCTGCCCTTGGCTCTGAACTTCCTCTGTGGCTGTGCAGTTGTTTAGAAGTAAAAGCCTGTGGGAAGGGCCCCACAGGGAAGAAGAAGTTGTGCTTTTCTCTTCAAAGAGCAAGAGAGCAACAGCTGCCCACTATCTTTTTTTTTTTTTTTTGAGGTGGAGTCTCATTCTGTCACCCAGGCTGGAGTGCAGTGGCACGATCTCAGCTCACTGCAACCTCCGCCTCTCGGGTTCAAGTGATCCTCTTGCCTCAGCCTCCCAAGTAGCTGGGACTACAGGTGTGTGCCACCACACCCAGCTAATTGTTGTATTTTTAGTAGATACGGAGGTTTCGCCGTGTTGGCTAGGCTGGTCTTGAACTCCTGACCTCAGGTGATCCAACTGTCTCAGCCTCCCAAAGTGCTGGGATTACAGGTGGGAGCCACCATGCCCGGCCTGTCACTAACTTTTGGTTCCATAAGTGTGAAAATCAGCATATGACAAATCCTCATGGTCCGTGGCTATTTAAGGGCATGAGGGCTTGGCTCCAGGCTCCTGATTGAAATGCATTGGCTGGAAAATGCAATGCCAGCACTAGCAGCTCATTTATTGACTTTCCGTCTTTTTCCCTACCCTAGAGAAAGGGCATATTAGGCCAGCCTTGCCTGTCAGCTAGCGTTGGAACCCCAAGGGATGTTTCCTAGAAACGTGTACATGGGGTGCTGGTGCGAGGGCGTGTGTGGTGGCTGGTAGTTGGGCAGACGGCAACAGATGCCTACTCTGCTTCAGTGGATTCTTGTTGATGGACCCACAAGAATAATAACCCAGCTAGCTCCAAGAAGATTGAGGGATTCATTGGCAGAGCAGTGGCATCCTTCCTGGGTCTGGCTGGATCTTCAGGAGGCTGAATCCAGGAAAGCATTCCAGAAGGCAGGGCCCTGGGGCTGGTGGACTGTGGGTCTCAGTCCCCACAGAATGAGTGAGGGGGTCTTAGCCTGGCTTGAAGTCTCCTCTCTGGCCATTATGGAATTTTTAGGCCCATCATGTCCAGAGTCCTAAATTCAGTTCAAAATCAGAGAAAGTTTCCCTTTGGATGAAGGACAACAAGGGGGGATTACAGAGTCTCAATGGGAAGCGGAGGCTCCAGGTGCCATGCTAAGGACCAAAGGGCCCCCTCTCCTTTATCCACTGCTGGCAGTCAGGGATCCCTATTAGAACCAAGGGCAGGATGGAGGCATCCTCATGGGTGTCCAAAGGGCAGCATTCCCAACATGTGTGGTGTGTCTGTGTGTGGGCAGCTGGGGGCGGGAGCAAGTCTCACATGGGGCTGGTTCTCTTCCTAAGAAGTGAAGGTCCCTTTGGTGTGGGAGTCCGTCATCCATACAGCCAAAGTGACCCTATTCAAGGGTGTCATTGCAGTGGGTGAGGCACGTGAGGAGACAGCACCACTTCCCTAGGACACTTTTCATTAGTAACATGATTTCAACATCACTGAAAAGGGAGGGCGCCATTTCCTGCGACAGTTTTCATTACTGCCCTCCCCACCTGGAGGTGGTTCTCGAGGCCCAAGAGCCTCTTTGGGGAGGAGGCCCGAGCTGTCGTGCTGAGGAGGCTCCCAAGCTGCAGCCCCTTGGAGGTGGGGGAGTGGCCAGGGAGCTTGTGGGGCCAGGAGGAGGAGGAGGGAGAAGGAGGAAGCTAAGTATTAGTGTGGGCCAGGGAGGCTCCCATTGCCTCCTCAGCCCTGTGGGCTCAGAGCCATGTCCTCCCAGGGGAGAGGGTCCGTCCAGCCCTTCGTGCCCCAGAACCAGGAACTCAGCCCAGAATCACCCTCCTTGTGTGTGGGATCAGTCAGTTTTCCTATGAACACAAGTCATCAAAACCCAACTTTACCAGGAAAAATATTTTTTAAAAACAGATCTGTCAGTCTCTCAGGCAAAGACGGTGTTGAGCTGGGCTCTGGAATGATGGAAGTCTAGGGCTGGGGAGTCTCCTCCAACCTCTCTCTGTATTTTGGCCCCAGGCTCTGTGCCCAAGTTATTCCAGCAGTAGGGACACAGTCGTCTACTGCTTGAGCTCCATCTCTACAGCTCCTGACCAAGAAAGCAGGTGCTGACACTCCAGGAGGCGATGGGGGCTCAGGAGAGGCCCCAGCTAAGTCCCTAAACTGTGCAGAACAGGGAGGTACCCACCAGCTCCAAGGCCAGGGTGGAGGCCCAGGGCTCCATCTCAGTGGCTGCATCCCAAGGACTCAGAGATGTTTCTTCCACAGTCCAGGTCTCTTCTGGAAATGCAGTCCAGGGCAGGAAGGCTCTGCAGATCCATCTCTCTAAGCAGCCATGTCTTTGTTTGGATGTTTAGAGGACAAGTTCATATAGATAGGTTGTTCCCATGGCTTCTCAGGGACCCTCTGAGACCCCTTCAACCAGAGGATTGCACCGACCAAGATAAGCAAGATGGGCACCTTCACAAATACCAGGAGCACGTAGTGGGTCCTGGGGAAGGGGACACAGTGGTCAGAGCCCTGGGCCTCCCAAGGCCACATCACTCCCCTCCCCTGATCCTGTGAGCCACCAGCCAAAGCCTGTGACCCTGGGCCAGGCAGCTTCATTCTAAAGATCCCCATAAATCTCCTCCTTGGTTCAATCTCAAGAGCTCCTCTGACAGTCACCTTGGCTGGTTCTGCACAGAGCAAATGTCACCTTTCTAATGTCACCTTCTGGGACCCTTTTTGCTCAAAGTACGTCTCAGCTCAACAGAAGCACCAGAGGTCACCAAATACAGGTTGTTTTTCCTGCCTCTGTTCCTGCTAATGCAGCTCCAGGTTGGTAAATCACCCTTCCTGCTCTGTGTCTCTTGATGTCTTGCACCATGGAGGGTGGTTTCTTATCTCCCCCTGGCACCCATGAGGCCACCAATGCAAGGTTGACCGATTGACTGGACGGATGATGCTCACCAAGAAGGGCTCTGCAGAGCAGTTTTCTGGTGAGAGCTATAGTAGGGAAATGGTGAACTGCAGTAATGAGGGCAGGAGAGAGATGGAGGGTTGGCTTGGGGCCTTGACTCTGGCTAGAGCAGCTGCTGGCATTTGGTAACAGGCAGGAGGTGTTCCCAGGCTTGGCTTCCCCTTAGGAGGGACCCCAGGTAGGGGCAGGGACCCCCGGTAGGGGTCCCACATGACTCACCTCTTGTGGGAGCTGATGAACACGCTCATATTCCTGTTGGTAGTCAATTTGGAAGACGAGCTTGCTGGTGTAGAAGCTGCTCCCACTAGACACAGGCAAAGTCAGCTGCGGGTTATTGGCACAGCTAGGAGCTCATGCAGGGGTCACGAAGTCACCCAACCCTGCCAGCCCTCACCAGAAGACCCTTTGCCCTGTAGTAGGAGGAGTTTCCTCTCCTGCTACAGCCCCTCAAACTACTACTGAGTCACCTCGATCTCAACACAGAGACATTTTTTTCCCATCATTTTCAGGTGTGGCAAGAACAATTAAAAATTAAAAAGGAGTAAGCACTGTAATGTATTCTGGGAGAGAGAGAGACTTTTTCATACTCTCTTTCCACCTATCCTATAAGTGGGACTATTGGATGGGGAAATAAATCTCAGGTCTTTTCCACTGGAGTGGTGCCTGAGCAGGACTTAAGGAGAGAAGATTCTGGAAATGGGCTGTTTAGAAATTGGGGTAGTCCAGAAAAGAGAAAGGGGATTCCAGAAGGCTCATGAAGAAAAGGGTACACTCCAGTTAAATGGTAAACAGCAACTGTGAGGAATGGAACATTCTTAGGAGCAACTATATAAGCAATTTGTTGGGGACAGTTCAGCCGGGGGCCCCTGAGGCCAGCCCAGCACTGAATATCCATGACCCACCAGTGATCTTTTATTTCTGTCCTCGGCCCCAGCAAATTCTTCCCAAAAGTCCCAGGCTGGCCAGGCGCAGTGGTTCACACCTGTAATCCCAGCACTTTGGAAGACCAAGGCAGGCAGATCGCTTGAGGCCAGGAGTTCGAAACCAGCCTGGGCAACATGGTGAAACCCCATCTCTACAAAAAATAGAAAATGAACCAGGCATGGTCATGTGCACCTGCAGTCCCAGCTACTAAGGAAGCTGAAGTGGAAGGATCCACTGAGCCCAGGTGGTCGAGGCTGCAGTGAGTCAAGGTCACTGCACTCCAGCCCGGGCTACAGAGTGAGACCCTGTCTCAAAACAAAACACAAACAACAACAACAAAACAGCCCAGGGTATGGCCATGCTAGGTAGGCTCCTGTCTGAGCTGCAGATAATTCTGGTCACAACAGTTGCTGTGAAGCCCCTGATCGTCTTACAGGCTGATGCCCCTGTAAGTCCCTGACCTGAGACTCCTGAATGTCTGTCTCCCTAAAGCTCCACACTGGCCGTGGTTTTTTGTCTCTCTGTACTGCCTGCATGTCTTGCTCGATCCCCTCTCTGCCCCTGTAGATCTTCTAGCCCTCCTCTACTTGGCAGCCCTGAGGAAGTCTTGGTTGACTCTTCCTGGACTCCTCTTTACCCAGATGCAGCCACTGTGTCCGTGTGCCTCTTTGGTACCAACCCCAACAGTACACAGGCTTGTTCTAATGCCACCATTGTCTATTTGCATATCACCACCAAATGGACCCAAGTGGACACTGAGCTGACAAAGGACTGAGCATGGGTGTGTGGGTGGAAGTGCGGCTGGAGGGCTGTTTCCCAGACTCCAACAACAGCAGGAAGACCCCAGATTCTGTGAGTGGAGTCCGAGGCATGGAGGAGACACCAGGGCAGCCAGAGAGATCCCTGACGTTGCCCATGATTGAAGCCATCTTTTTGCTTTAAAGAGTCCACTGTCATTCATGCACCTCCATGAGCTTCCTTACCCCATGCTCATCTTACACAGCCAGATAAAGTAGCAGACCAGTGGCTTGGGACCCAGAGAGGAGGGCATTGTAAGATGCCCAGGGCTACTCTGGGTTGGTGCAGTTCTTGGGACTCAAACTAGGACCCTCTGGGCTGCTCTAGGTCCTCCACCTCCCATGTCATAAGCAGGGCTGGGCCACGAGTCACCAAAGCTGAGGTCCACACTCACACTCCCATTCCAAACCCTTCCAGCCCTGCCACACGACACCTGGATTTCTTGGGGAGACCTCAGGGACTGAGACAGCAGAGCGATGCTGGCTGCCACTCTCCCTTCGTTTCTCTCACCTCCCTCCCAGTCCTTCCATCTGTCATCTGTCTGTCTATCTGTCTCTCTCTTAGGCTCCTAGGTAAGAGCACTGACTTTTCCAGTCCTGAGCTCTAGGGCCTCCTCATGTAGATGAGAAAGTTCTTACCTGGGTCAACGATCACTTTCACTTGAGTCCCAAGGTCAGTTCCTCGTCTCTTAATCCCACACCAGTAAATGTCTGTGTCGTTTCGCCTGAGCCCCCCCATAGTCACAGTGAACACGTGGTCTCTCTGATTGTCCTTGATGACCACACGGCCCCTCTTCTCTTCTTGCTCTGACCCTCTGGTTTGAATGAGGATAGTGCATGAATCCCAGTGCACCCCTCGACACCACCATTTGACATAGGTCTCCCATCTTTGCTGATAGTGGCACTGCACACTCACGGACCCGTGCTCTGGGCCTCTCACGGACTCTTGGCTGTGGATGGAGAAACAGCCTGGAAAACAGAATCCCAAGATACAGCTCCTGTTGTCTGAGCCAGTTTGAGGTTCACGGACTGAATGAGAGTCCCAGATGTGTCTCTAGCTCAGCCAATTCCTCATCCCCACCTCCCCCTCAGTCCAGCCCCCACCAGCTTCTAGACCTGATTAGCATGTGACACCATGGTCTCCTACAACCTTCCTTCCTTGTCCTTTCCATGCTATTCTCATCAGAGCCAAATATTTAACAACCAGCCCTCTGGGGGAAAAAATATCTGGTATTCAGGCTGAGTGCAGTGGCTCATACCTGTAATCCCACACTTTGGGAGGCCAAGGGAGGCAGATCACCTGAGATCAGGAGTTCAAGATCAGCCTGGCCAACATGGTGAAACCCCGTCTCTACCAAAAACACAAAAATTAGCTGGGCATGGTGGCAGTCACCTGCAGTCCCAGCTACGTGGGAGGCTGAGGCAGAAAAATCACTTGAATCTAGGAGGCGGAGGCTGCAATAAGCTGAGATCTCAGGACCGCACTCCAGCCTGGGCAACAGATTGAGACGCTTGTCTCGATAAAAAAGAAAAAGAAAAAAAAAATACCTCTGGTTTTAATATTTGCCAAATTCTGTAGTGTAAATACTCCCACAGTGGCAGATGTCAGGCTATCCATGTGATGTCCCTGGACACAGAGCTGGGAAAAGGTGTCCCAAACCAGCTCCTGTGAGCCAGTGTGAGCTGACTTCAGCACTCTGAGGGGGTACCCAGGGTTCCCTCTCCTGCCTTCATCTTGTCTCACCTTACAAGCCTCCATGGACGGAGTCTCTCCATTTCCATGGCTTTAATGATGACTTGTTTCCTGATGACTCCCAAATCCATATTTGTAGCTCAGACTCCCCTTAGCTAGCCCGCCATTTATAAAGACACGCTGGAGGTCTCCACCCCAAATTCCTTCATTGCAGAACTGAATGCACTTCCTCTCTGTTGGAAACAGATGCTCGGTGCCACAAAGAAAAATCAGCACGGAGACAAAGGATCTTTCAGCGAGCAATTCTTACTTCCTGGACTGCAAGAAGTGTACTCTTGCTAGCCATCTTGCCACGAGAGTATAATGAACAAAGGAAAAGCAGACATGTTTATCTCTTATGCATTTGGGGTTGTCCTTCCTGCTGTGTCTGATCTCCATTGGCTGTAGCCAGACCTCACAATCTAAACTAAAACCCAATTGGCTAACAACTTAAAACTTTTCTAAACAGGTAAAAGTAATGGCGAGCTGGGACATGCCTGTGAGCTCGACCAGCACAGATGTCTTGGTTAAAGTACAAGGACATATAATGTACTACGTGCCTGTAAGCATGGCACGTCTAACAGCTACATAGGATAGGGCTTAACACAGAGTTACTAGCAAATTTATCCTTTAACAAGAAAGGAAATTTTAAAGAGGGACTTTTCTGCTTCCCACACTCTCCCACCCTGAGTTTTCTTCTAGTGGGGGATTGGATGTGGAAAATCTAGCAAAGGATTGATGCAAGCTGAACAGGTGAGAGGTGAGCCTAATCAAACGCTGCTCCTGCCTCCGATGATTGACTCCAGCTAGGCTGTGTTCAGGCAGGCTATTTCCTTGGCAATGACACAAGTTTCTTGATCACAGAGAAGTGGATACAAGGGCAGAGACTCACTGGGGAAGCCTCTCTTGACTGTCTCTTGGCCTCAGAGCTTCAGGCCCAGGCTGGGGGGTCTCTGCAGGAGACCAGGAGAATCAGGTCTACCTCCCTAGGCCGACGCTGCCTCCTCACACCTTGGGCCTTCTCCCCCTGAAGCTATTTTAGCTTTCTTGAACTTGGCATTCGTGGTTGGTAGAATACTGTCCCCCATAGATGTTGGCATCCTCATACACAGAACCTGCCAGTATGTCCCCCAAACATGGCCGGAGGCACTCTGCAGATGTGATGAAGGTAAGGACCTTGAGACAGGAAGGGTATCCTGGATCACCTCCCTGGATATTCTAAGTGAAAGAGGGTTGAAGCAGAGTCTGATTGGAAGTTGGTCTGTTGCTGGCTTTGAAGAGGAGGAAGGGGCCATAGGCCAAGGAAAGCAGATGGCTTCTAGAAGCTGGAAAATGCAGGGAAACAGATTCTCTCCTAGAGCCTGCAGAATAGGGTCTCCCAACCCCAGATCACAGACTGGCACTGGTCCATGGCCTGTTAAGAGCCTGGCCTTACAGCGGGAGGTCAGCGGCGGGCGAGCAAGCGAAGCATTTGGGGCTTGCTCTCTCAGTGACAGCTCATCAAGAGGTCAGGACCTCGCCTGTATTGACCGCCGCTCCCCCTTGTTAGAATTGCCACCTGACCTCCACCTCCAGATCAGTGGCAGCATTTGATTCTCACAGAAGTGTGAACCCTATTGTGAACTGCGTGTGTGAGGGACCTACACTGCACACTTTATGAGAATCTAATGCCTAATGATCTGTCACTGTCTCCCATTGCCCCCACATGGGACCATTGCAAGAAAACAAGGTCAGGGCTCCCACTGACTGACATTATGGTGCAGTGTGTAATTATTTCATGATATATTACAATGCAATGATCATAGAAATAAAGCACACAGTAAGTGTAATGCTCTCGAATCATCCCAAACCATCCTCACCCCACTCCTGGTCTGTGGAAAAATTCGTCTTCCACGAAACTGGTTCCTAGTGCCAAAAAGGTTGGGGACCCCACTGCTCTAAAGAAATGCAACTCTACGCCTCGATTTTAACCAGTAAGACCATGCCAGACTCTGGTCTTCAGAAGCATCAATGAGATGATGAATTTCTGCAGTTCTAAGCCACAGAGTTCGTGTTAATTTGTTACAGCAGCTGGAAATTAACACAGCATTCAATCAGCAGAACCAACTTGAATCTCTTCAGAGAATCAGAAGGTCAGGTGGCAATTCTAACCAGCAGCTTCACCACCCAGCCTACCATTGGCATATTCTTCAATGCTGTCCTCTCCTTCAGCCCCCACAGCTGATTAATAGCCAGCTTAGTCAGCTCTACCCTAGAGATGCTCCTTAGATTTTCTTCTTCTTCTTTCAGTCTCCGCCATCGCAGACCACAGAACAGCATGACAGCAGAGGGGGTGAGAGCTTTGAATGCAGAAAGACGTGATGACCCTGAACTAGTTGGGAAACCCTGGCAGAGTTGCTTAACCTCTGCAAGTGTCACTTCCTTATTCGTGAAACAGTCATGCCACTCTCTACCTTGAAGAGCCATTCTGTCACTCCAGCCTGGGTGACAGAATGGAACTCCGTCTAAAACATAAACAAACAAAAACAAATGGGACTTGAATGTGTGTAGGCTGGGCAAGGTGGCTCATGCCTGTAATCGCAGCGCTGTGGGAGGCTGAGGCAGGAGGATCGCCTGAGCCCAGGAGTTCTAGACTGACCTGGGAAACATGGTGAAACGCTGTGTCTGCAAAAGATAAAACATTAGCCGGGAGTGACGGTGCATGCCTGTGGTCCCAGCAGCTTGGGAGGCTGAGTAGGAGGATCGTTTGAGCCTGACAGTTCAAGGCTGCAGTGAGTTATGATCACCCACCACAGCACTTCAGCCTGGGTGACAAAGTGAGACACTGTCTAAAAAATTATTATTTTTTAATTTGAAAGAAGACTTGGATGTATCTCCAAAACCAGACATTTGGGGGTTGCCCCGTCGGTGACAGCTCATCAACAGGTCAGGACCTCACCTGTGGCTGGATCGTGGCAGTGGTTTCTTTAGAAGTCTTCCCAGCCCAGCAGCATCCTCCCCACCTCTCCTCTCCATACTGCTGCTCGAGCTGGGTACTGAGACTGTCTCATCCTTCTCATCAGCTGCACTTGTCCTGAGCATCTAAAAAGCTTTCAGGGCCAGGCACCATGGCTCATGCCTGTAATCCCAGCTCTTTGGGAGGCCGAAGCAGGTGGATCTCTTGAGGTCAGGAGTTCGAGACCAGCCTTGCCAACATGGCAAAACCCTGTCTCTACTAAAAATACAAAAACTATCTGGGTGTGGTGGCAGGTGCCTATAATCCCAGCTATTCAGGAGGCTGAGCCAAGAGAATCACTTGAATCCTGGAGGTGGAGTCTGCAGTGAGCCAAGATCATACCACTGCACTCCAGCCTGGGCGACAGAGTAAAACTCCATCTCGAAAAACAAAAACAAAAACATAAATTGGATTTGTCAGCAATCACTAACAGCAGAAGAGAGATGCTGCTGTATTGAATAAAGTGTCGTCAATCCCAGCTGCAGTCATTCAAGCTGTAAAGGGCTCACAGTGTAATGAGGCCTGTTTAAAAAATATGTGGGAGCTTCTCTAACCACCAAGTATGATGGCTGGAGCTATTAATCAGGCTTCTACGTGTTGTCAAGAGTTGGTATGAGGAACAGTAGGGATGGAAATGACAGGGCAGTCGTCAGCTTGGAACAGAGCCCTGTTGAACGGGCTGAAAGATTGAAGGGCTTTTGTTTTGATTTGTTTTGTTTTGAGACAGAGTCTCTCTCTGTCACCCAGGCTGGAGTACAATGGCGCAATCTCAGCTCACTGCAACCTCTGCCTCCCAAGTTCAAGCGATTCTCCTGCCTCAGCCTTCTGAGTAGCTGGGATTAAGGCACCCACCACCATGCCTGGCTAATTTTTGTATTTTTAGTAGAGACAGGGTTTTGCCACGTTGGCCAGGCTGGTCTTAAACACTTGACCTCAGGTGATCCACTGGCCTAGGCCTATCAAAGTGCTGGGATTACAGGTGTGAACCACTGTGCCTGACCTAAAGGGTTTTTAAAAGCATAAGCCTCTTTCAATTTCAGGTTTTTCATTTTGTGAACCTGAGATGTAAACATCCTGTTTTGTGTCAATTCTCCAGGAAGGCCTGCCACATGTCCTCGTTGTGAACAAAATCCCAGAGTGAAGGGTCTTTTTTTTTTTTTTTTTTTTGGGGCACGTGACTCTGGAAAATCTCTGT